CATCCAAATCATTGATAAAGATTTTGAACAAAAGAAGTCCCAGGACAGATCCTTAAGACACTCCACTTGTCAATTCCTCTCCAAGAGGATGAGGAACCATTAACAAGCACTCTTTGGGTATGATCTGTCAACCAGTTATAGATCCACCTAACAGTAAAAGGATCCAGACCACATTTTACCAATTTGTCAACAAGAATATTATGTGCAATCTTAGGATGCATTAACAGAAGCATTGTGTCCAGATCACGGGAGGTGGTAGTTCCACTCTATTCTGCTATGGTCAGGCCTCACCTGGAGTACTGTGTCCAGTTTTGGGCACCACATTTTAGGAAAGATGTTGACAAGCTTGAGCGTTTCCAGAAGAGGGCAACCAGGATGGTGAGAGGGTTGGAATCCAAGTCTTATGAGGAAAGGCTGAAAGAGTTTGGTATGTTTAGCCTGGGAAAGAGAAGGCTTAGAGGGGACATGATTGCAGTCTTCAAGTATCTGAAGGGCTGTCATGTAGAAGATGGAGCAGATCTATTCTCTCTTGCTCCGGATTGCAAGACTAGATCTAATGGGTGGAAATTACAAGAGAGTCGATACTGGCTAAATATCAGGAGAAACTTCCTAACTGTAAGAGTGGTTGAGCAGTGGAACAGTCTGCCTCAGGAGGTGGTGGATGCTCCTTCGCTGGGCGTTTTCAAGCGGAGGCTGGATGACCCTCTTTCGGGTATGTTGTAGGGCTATCTTTTGGCTTGCTCCTGCAGAGTGCAGGGGGTTGGACTAGATGACCTGCAAGGTCCCTTCCAACTCTAACATTCTATGTTTCTATGATTCTATGTGGAACCTTATCAAAAGGCTTACTGAAATCAAGATAAGTTGTCTAGAACATTCCCCTGATCCGGCAAGGCCATAACTTTCTAAAAAAAGAGAAAGAGAGAAGGTTAGTCTGACATGACTGTTCTTGAGAAACCCATGCTGTCTCTTAGTAATCACAGCCATCTTTTCTAAATGTTCAAGGACTGTCTGTTTGAAATTTGCTTTTCTGAAGTCCAACCTTTCTGTCTGACTGCTTACAGCTTTCCCCTTCCCTAAGACTGTAAATTCCAAAATTACATGGTCACTACTCCCCAGGGTGCCCAGTACATTCACCTCCTATTCTCCCTTGTTGGTGAGAATCAAGTCCCAGATAGCAGATCCCCTTGTTTCCCTCTCCACTTTCTGGAAAATGGAGTTGTCAGCAAGACAAGTCAGGAATTTATTGGACCTTTCAATTTTAGCAGAGTTGGAGTTCCAACAGATATCCAGGTAACTGAAATCTCCCATGACCACCATGTCCTGTCTCTTTGAGAACTTTGTAATCTGTGGAGACACTGTTCTAGGAGTGTCTCATCCAAGTCCTCACTATTATTTCTTACTCCTTTTATTATTACCCAGAGACCCCTCCCCCTTCCTTATTTGTCTGCCCCTTTTAAACAAGATGTACCCCATAATCCTAATATTCCAATTGTGAGTGTCATCCCACCAAGTTTCAGTAATGCCTATTAGGTCATAGTCCCCTTCCTGTATTAGGACTTCACTTCTTCCTGCTTGTTTCCCATAGACTTTGCAGTAGTGTAGAGCAGGGGTGGCCAAACTGTGGCTTGGGAGCCACATGTGGCTCTTTCACACATATTGTGTGGCTCCTGGCAGGATGGCTGGGGAAACGAAGGGGAGGCATGCCTCCCCAATTGGTCTTTCCTTCCCCAGCCAGTGTTCCCCTCCCTGGGTAGGCTTGAGGTGGGGGAGGAGCAGAGAAAGAAAGCAACTTTAAATGCATTCTCAAAGCCCCCTACCTGCCGATCAGCTTGGAGAAGGCATTTGTCTCTTTAAATCCCTTCTTCAAGCCAAGCCAGCTGTCGTGGGGGTGTGGGGCTGCCCTTGGAGGATGCATTTAAAGTCAGTTGCTTTCTTTCCACCTCTCCTCCCATCAATTTGCTTTCTTTCCACCTCTCTCTCTCTCCCCCTCCCTCTCCCTCTAAAGTTAAATGTGTTCTTCAAGTCCTGCCACACTGCCACATTGCCAGCTGGCTTGGCTTGGAGAAAGCATTTGTCTCTTTAAATCCTTTCTCCAAGCAAAGCTGGCATGGCAGTGGGGGCAGGGGACTTGGAGAACACATTTAAACTTGCTTTCTTTCCACCTCTCCCTCCTGCCTTCCCTCCCCATTTATTTACTTCCTTTCCAGCTCTCGCTCTCTCTCCTTCCCCTCCCCCCATCTATTTGCTTTTCTTTTTCTTTTCACCTTTCTCTCTCTCTGTGTCTCCCTTCCTTCTGCTCTCTCTTCCTTCCTCCCCCTCCTTCATCTATTTGCCTTCTTTGTTTCTCTCTCTCTCTTCCTCCCCTCCCCCTCCCCCATCTATTTGCTTTCTTTCTGTTTCTTTTTCTTCTTTCCACCTCTTTCATTCTTTCTTTCCATGCCCCTTAGACAAATAAATATCATTAGCAAACAAATAAACATCATTGGACAAATGCATATCTTTATCAATATCTGGTTTTACCCCTTTTGTTTTTATTTTTGGCAGTCTCATTAATTGTTAATAAAAAGCAAATTTGCATATTTTCCAGTAAAAATGTGTAATACTTGTTCATGTCTTGTGGCTCTCAAATATCTGGCGTATACAGGAGGTTGTGGTGGCTACAAGCATGGATGGCTTCAAGAGGGAATTAGATAAACATACAGAGCAGAGGTCCATCAGTGGCTATTAGCCACAAGGTATAGATAGGAACTCTCACCCACTTACTGTTATTATTCTGCACCTTGTTTGTTTGACCTCCTATAAAATAAACTATTTTCATTGTTCACTCTGCCTGGTCCTCACACCTATTATTCAGCCAAAAGGGAGGTCTAAAGGCCTGGGAGGGTGCTCTGGGCCTTCTCAGAGGAGCCTGGAACCAGAGTGGTGGCAGCGTCAGGTGACACCCCACCTGAGCCGTGACAGGCATATAATATGGCAAATCCTGTATTACTCTGAAAGGGGAAGGGAGATCTGTGACAGCTGACCATGGTCCTGGCAGTGACACTGGTGAGGTCCTAACTGGCTAGGCCAGCTGGGTCTCCAGCTTGGGCTTGGAGATCTCCCAGAATTACAACTGATCTCCAGACAACAAGGATCCATTCCCCTGGAGAAAAATGTCAGTTTTGGAGGGTGGACTCCAGCCTCTCCCGCCTCCCCAGGCTCCGTCCCCCAAATTTCTATGGCTTCACATCCTGGATGAGCTTCGTCCCCTCCCCAAACTCTGCCCTCTACAGAGATCAGTTCCTCTGGAGAAAACAGCCGCTTCAGAGGGCGGACTGGATGGCCTGGTACCCGGCTGAGTTCCTTCCTCTCCCCAAACCTCGGACCTCCCCAGGCTCCACCCCCCCAAAAATCTCTGGGAATTTCCCAAACCAGAGTTGGCCGCACTATAACTGACCCCCCCTTTTCCTGTCACGTGACAGTAATGTCATGGGGCTTCCTGTTGCGCGCTTGCAGCTCAGTAAGTTGCCTTCTACTGCGGGGGTGGTGGTGGGGTGGAGGGTTAATGGTGGGTCACAGATCTGGAAAAGTTGAACTCCCTTGAGTTAATAAACATGAGTACACGCTCTCTCTCATGCACATGCGCAGCGACAGCACTTGAGGTTGCCAACTCCAGGTGGCGAAAATCCTGGGGATTTTCTCCAAGGTGATTACTGGAGAACTGCAGGCCTCACCTGGTGGAGACTGGTGGGAACCCTTCACTTTGGCACACAAGCCCCACTTGCTGCAGGAGTTGTGCACTTCCAACACACACACACACACACACACACGTGAGCAGCGCAGCGTGGGAGGCGCCTTCGGCTGGTCTGCTTTTGGGGGGCTCAGGAATGGCCGTGGCGGAGGGACTCTGACAAGGGCTGCGAAAACAATTTGTCCCACAGGTTGTGTAGATCCTTGTGGAAGTTCTCCTTGCAGAAACGGAGGGACCTGTTCCGCTGCACGCGACCTGTGCTCCCGCCATTGCTCCTGCCCAGAAGAGTTCGCCGGGGAGGCCTGTGAAGCGGGTAAGCGCTGGTCTGACGGAGATCAGCTCGTGTGAGTGCCGGTTGCGGAGCGCCTCGAGGCCTGCATGGCAAAAGGGGGTGATGGATGCTGCTGCCGCTGCCACTGCTAGACCAGGAAAGTGGTGGTGGTGGTGATGGTGGTGGTGGGGGAGGCCTGCCTGCCTGCCTGCCTGCCTGCTGTTGGCCCTGGGAATCCAGCCTTCCTTCTGCTGCAGCGGAGGCAGCCCCTGCCCTTGATGGCAGCAGCAGGCGGGGAGGGGGCGGAGGCTTCCCTTTGCAGGGGCACCTCCCTTTCTTCAGGAGCCGTCTGGCTGAAGAAGAGCCCTGGGGAGGGTGGGTGAGGACTGGCCTGGCGGGGTGGGGGGTGGCGAGGGTTGCACCGGAGCACTGCCTGGCTTCTGGACCTGGCCTGCCAGTTCTGTTCATGGAAGGGAATCCAGTCTTTGCTGCCCCCCCCCCCCCGAAAAAAAGCAGGGCACAATACATCACACGCACACACACACACACACCAATCTCTGCCTGTCAGTAAGGATGGCATTTTATTGGTAAGAGGAGCCATCTCAGGAATGGTCTCTATTCTGCCACATCTTCTGTTGAATCCTGGGTTCTGGATGCATCGCAGTGATCAGCTCTAGTTTGTTTAGGGATTTCAGGAACACAACAAGGACACCCAGCAGGGCTTGAGCCCTGCTTATAAAGCATGCAGACCCCCCCCCCCCACACACCCCACTCCTAGGATAGGCTATTTACATTACACTACTTATCTGTTGGTCTACTCCAGGATCCTGGCAAGCTATTATTCTAGAGTAGCAAGCTCAACTAGTTCCTGGTGTACCTAGAGGGCTGACTCAGGCTCAATACATAACATCTTCCTTTTACAAGAGAGCCAAAATGCTTGATAATGACTGTTGTTTTTTCCACCGTTTTTCTTTCTTTCTACTAATTGTAGCAAAATGTTTTGATGGGAGCCTCTACGAGTACTTTGAGACTGGAAAAAGCTGGGCCAGGATCCATCAGGGGATCGTGCAAGAATGTACTTGTGTCCACAGTCAAGTGGAATGCCGGCCTGCCCCATCTACAGGTATAGCAAGGTTCTCTCTGCCTTGTTTTGTGGCAAAAGAAATCCTTGGTAGTCTAGAAACCAAGCTCTGTTCTGGCCAGCAAGCCCGTCTGTAAATCACTGGCACTTAAAATGTGTGAACTTCTAAATGTCATCTTTGAACTAGCTCTAATACAAGAGTTTTTAAATATTCTCCAAGCTTGTTGGTCAGATTTGCCTCTCTGTATTGCCTTTTCAGCAGAGTTTTAATTAATCCCTCCTTTTCTGGTAATTTCTCCGTGCTGGAATTATATGTAACAGCATGGACAACTGGCAGGTTTCGACTCACATAGATGTTGCGTTTGATACCATAGTGATCTCTGTTTCCAAGCATCTTGTACCAGATCCTGGGCCAGGGTTACCAACCTCCAGGAGGGGCCTGGAGATCTCTCAGAATCACAACTGACCTCCAGCAGAGATCAGTTCCCCTGGAAGATATGGGTTGCGTGCTTTGGAGGGTGGACTCCATGGCAATGTACCACCATGAGATCCCTGTATGTTCGTGATCAACCATGCTTTGGAAATAAATCTTGCTTCTTTTGAACGTGGATCTATTCTCCTGATTTGGGATCTAACAGTTGGTTGGATTTGCCTCTCTGTATTGCCTTTTCAGCAGAGTTTTAATTAATCCCTCCTTTTCTGGTAATTTCTCCGTGCTGGAATTATGCAGCATGGACAACTGGCAGGTTTTGACTCACATAGATGTTGCGTTTGATACCATAGTGATCTATGTTTCCAAGCATCTTGTACCAGATCCTGGGCCAGGGTTACCAACCTCCAGGAGGGGCCTGGAGATCTCTCAGAATCACAACTGACCTCCAGCAGAGATCAGTTCCCCTGGAAGATATGGGTTGCGTGCTTTGGAGGGTGGACTCCATGGCAATGTACCACCATGAGATCCTTCCCTCAAACCCCACTCACCCCAAGTTCCACCCCCAAATCTCCAGGAATTTCCCAGCTCAGAGCGGGCAACCATAGGGCCTCCCTTAAGATTAACTCATTGGCCTCATCTCCTTTTCCTGCTTGTATGATTAATAACTGTTCTCAGACACAATGATTTGTTGCGTCCAGACGTTCATGGGGCAACCTCGCCCCCTATGCTTCAGGCCTCTCCTGTGGGAATCCCCCCCCCCACAGCTCCTTCCCCTATTGGCAAGGGAAGCAGAAATAATCCAATATTATATCATATTTTGCTTTGATTCTATGCCTCCTGTGTGTGTGTGTCTGTGTGTGTGTGAAAGAGAGAGAGAGAGACTATTTGTAGGGCTGAATCCAGACTAACTTGGCATTTTCCACTGATTTCCTCTTCTTGTTGGCGAGCTCCCTCGTGTCATTCCTCAAGGTCCTCTCCTCTGTTCTCCAAGAGCAGCATTTATGGCAATCGGTGGCTTTAGTGGAAGAAAGAAGGAAGGAAAATTCTGTCCCCCTGATGGAAAATGTAGTCTGGATCCAGCCCGGCCATTTGTGTTTCACAACTGTATTTCAAGCAGTATTTATTTATTTATTTATTTATTTATTATTTACATTTCTATCCCGCCCTCCCCGGAGGCTCAGGGCGGCTTACAAGGCATATCGCCAGATAATACAATAGAACAATAGAAAACATTAAATTATTAAAATACATCACAGTAATGAACAAATTTTGGTGTTCCTCTCCTAAAAACAAGATGGCCGTCCCCTAAAACGTCCCATTCTCACCCAAGGTGCCCGCATCATGGTGACCATGTACAGAAATCATGGGGCGTTGGTGGTACAATGGTGATGGCGGCTCCTATTCAAAAGCCTGGCGGAAGAGCTCCGTCTTGCAGGCTCTGCGGAACTGTGCTAGGTCCCGCAGAGCCCTGATCTCCTCTGGGAGCTCATTCCACCAGATAGGAGCCGCCACCGAGAACGCCCTATTCCTGGTCATGATGAGCTTAATGGACCGGGGACCTGGCACGTCCAGTAAGTTCTGATTCCCCGACCGCAGTGCTCTTGGGGGAACATGTGAGGAAAGGTGGTCCCTTAAGTAGGCTGGTCCCTGGCAATTTATCTGACAATTCACCCTCTCTTTCC